CTTCATAGGGTCGCTATGAGTCGCCTGCGTCTTGAAGGCACTTAACAACAACAACACCTACACTTGTTATGTATCATTAGGTTGAAACTGCCCCTACCTAATATTTTAGCAGATCTTCAGAGGCAGAAAATAGCACAAAATGAGACTATCTTTCTCCCACAGAATAGCTATTAGATTCAAACCACATACCTTTGGATTGGCATTGCAACTTCTTACCCGCTAAGCCAACAGCATTTTCTTAGAGTCTAATTCTTACCCAGGCAAACATTAAAATTACAATCAAAAGCCTATTTACTTCAGTTTAACTTACCAGGTACATAATGACTGGATTTTTTTAAAGTACAATCAATAGTGAAAAAAAAATTATGAGCAGTAGATAAAAAACAAGATCTAAACATTGTCTACAAAAACTCATTTTAAATATAAAGGCACAAATGGAATAGGGATGTAGAAAATATACCATGCAAACACTGATTCCATGAAAGCTGGAGTAGTTATACTAATTTTATTAAAAAAAATAATTTAGACCAAGAAAAATTATCAGGGAGAAAGAGGTTCTTTGTGTAATGATAATGGGATCACTTATTAAAGAAGACATGTCAATCCTTAATATATATATATGCAAATAACAGTGAAGTGTCATATATGAGGCAATAGTCGATAAAACTGTAACAAGAAATAGATAACTCTATTATTATAGTAGAAGACACCAATATCCTTTTATGAGTGATTCAGCAGTGAGGTAATGAATAATGATATAGTTTAATTGAATAGTATCATCAATATCTGAATGTAACTGAGATATAAAATACTTTACTCTCAAACTTACATAGAATATCCACTAAGATAGAACATATACTGAACCATATATTTAAAATTTAAAAGAATAGAAACTATGCACGATATATGATATAAAAACTCATTGGGATTAAACTGGAAGTCAGTAACAGAAAGACAGCAGGAAAATATAAAAATATTTAGAAACTGAGAAATACACTTATGAAACAATGCATGTTTAAGAAGTCATCACCAGATTAATTTTTAAAATATTTTCAAATATATGAAAGTAAAAGTACAAGTTATCGAAACTTGAGGATTAAGTAAAAGCAGTTCTGAGTGGAAAATTTATAGCATTAAGTAGATCTAATAGAAACGAAAGCACTAAGCTTCCAACTTAGAAAATGAAAAATGAAGAGTAGAAGAAACAGAAAAAGAAGAAGTGAAAATTGAAAATTAAAGCAGAAATTGAAAATAGGGAATAGAAATTCATAAAACCAAAGGCCAATTCTCTGAAAATGTAAATAGTTGATAAACATGTATCTATACTACATTAAAAAGAAGATATAAATTATTCATATCAGAAATAAAAGAGGCACCATTACAACTTATCCCATGGATAGTAAAGTCTTATTATTTTACCTACCAATTAGCTTAGATAAAATGGAGACAATCTACAAAAATTCACACAGGGAGAAAAGGATAATCTCAATAGACTAAAGAAACTGAGTCATCAATTAATAACTTTCCAAAAGAGAAAACACCAGGCCCAGATGGTCTCACTAGGGAATTCTATGAAGTATTAAAGGAAGAAATTATACCAATTCTCCACAATTTTTTCTAGAAAATGAAAACAGAGGAAATACTTCTAGTTTATTTTAAAACTAAAACCAAATAGATACATTATAGAGAGTAAAAGTTACAAACTAATATCTTACACAAAAATAGATGCAAAAATCAACAAAATATTAGCAAACCAAATTAAAAAAATGTATTGAAAGAATGATACATATCATGAAAAGTGGGATTTATACTAGAGATTAAAATCTGGCCTAGTATTCAGAAACCAATTTACATAATTCATCACCTTAGCAGGCTAAATAAGAAAAATCACATAATCATACCAATATATACTAAAGAAGATCAGACAACATTGATTCATAATTAAAAGTTCTTGGCAAACTAGGAATATAGAGGAATTTACTCACTTTGATTATAAAAACCTATGGCTAACATCACATTTGATGATGAGAAAGTAGATGTTTTTCCTTTAATAACAGGAATGTGACAATGACGTTTCCTCCATCACTCCTATTTATATTATATTAATTATATGATATGATATGATATTATGTTATATATTATTTATATTATTTAATTTATTATATTATATGTCCTAATACAACAAATCAAGAAGTGGAAATGAAAATAATATAGATTAAAATAAAGATATAGAAATGTTTTTACTTGCAAATGTAATGGTCATCTTTGTAGGAAATCCCAAAGAATAAAAACAAACAACAAGAAAAACAGAAATCAACCCTTTCTAGAATTAACAAGCAGTCAAAGCAAGGTTGTAGGGTACAGGGATAACATACAAGGCAATTGCTTTTTTATATACTCACAATGAAACCTGGAATTTGAAATTTAAAATACATAACACTCGTTATATTATTGTTATGTATCATCAAGTCAAAACCAACCCATAGTTGACTCTGCAGCAGGTTTTCAGAGGCAGTTGCTGGATGGACAAGATTGCTCATTTTTGTCTCAAGGAGTAGATGGTGGATGTGAATCACCCGCCTTTGGACTGGCAGTGACTTGTACTACAAAACCACCAGAATAATTCACTATATCAATCTCTTCAAATAAATACTGGATAAAAATATAAAGTATGCTTATAAAATCTATATGAAGAAATTTACAAAATACCAGTGAAAGAAATAAAAAGTCAAAAATAGATATTCCACATTTCTAAATCAAAAGACTTAAGATGTTGATCTTAATTTGATCTATAGAGTAAATATAACTCAAATATAAATGCCATTTATGATATCAACAAACTAATTTTTAAATTTATATTAAAAAGTTAATGACCTAGAATAGCCAAAACAATACTAATGTTTCAAGACTACAGTTAATCTAGTCAGTGTAGGTTTGATAACAAAATAGATAAGCAGAATCTAATAGAACAGAATAGAGTCAAAGTAGACACACAGAAATGTAGCAACTTGGTCTTTGAGAAGAGAGCAAAGGGTGTTAAATGAAGAACAGTTTATTCAACAAATGGTGCTAGAAAACCAGGATACGTATATTTTTTAAAAATCAGATACAAATCTTAACACAACTTACAAAAATTAACTAAAAATTAATCATAGACCTAAATATAAACAGGAAAACCAGTACACCTATAGAAATAAAATAAGAGAAAATATAAATGGCCTTGAGTTTGGGGATGCTTTTCAAGATATAAAATCAAAAGCAAGATCCATAAAAGAAAAACATTTTAAGATGAACGTCAATGAAATTAAAAATTTCTAGTCTACAAAATATATCACAAAGAGAAAATCTACGAACTTGGAGAAAATATTTGCAGAACATTTGTCTGATACAAGATTTGTATCCAAAGTATGGAAAGAGGTCTTAAAACTCAATATCAAGGGTATAAGCAGCATAATTACAACTCAATTACAAAATATGTGACTAGTCATTCACCAGAAAAAATACACAATAATCACATTTATTGCTCAAAAACATGATCAACAACATACATCATTAGTAAATTAAAAAAAAAAAAAAGCGATGAGCTACCTATTACAATGACTGAAGATCAAATACTGGCAGGATGTAGGGCAACAGGAAGGCTCATTTATTGCTGATGGGAATGTAGTATCATACAGCCACTTTGAAAGACAGTTTTTATTTTACATTTCATCCCAATTGTGTGATTTAAAGCAGGACATCCTACCCCATGTTCAGGGGAAGTGGAGAATAAACCAGATTTAAGGCTCTTTTCAATGGTGTAACTCATCATATTACTAAGAAATTCTATTATTGTTTTTACCAGGAAATGAGGTACAGGTGGCTATCCTTTAGAATGCAAATGGAGCATAAAAGTGACGAAAGAAGTGATTCATTTTCAGTAGTGGAAGAATACAGTTAGAGCAAAAGGAAAGGGAGGAAACACACTGAACTCTCTGTTGTGGTGGTGTGTCCTAGAGTTAGAATTCTCCCAGACCTCACCTAGGAATTTGTCAGACACAGTAAATTGCTTCGGAGGAAATTGCTCATCCTTTTCTTATGGAGCAGCTGGTGGATTTGAACAATGTTCCTTTCATATTGTAATGCAGCTTCTTATCACTAAAGCAATGGATCACAGGGGGGGAAAACAGGCTAAAGAGAAGAAAACAACATATCAAATTATATTTCTATGAATTAATTGATAAACTTGTTTCCTTACATGATAAATGTAAAAAAGTGAAAATAAAAGTCAAATGTAGAATTTCAAATTTGAGAAGCTTGTAGTTAAAGTCAGAGAAAGGAGTTAATTCAGTAGAGTAGCATAGAAAAGGTTAATTTAGTTTTAAAATGCTAGTTTCTACCTAAGAGCACCTGAAAATATTGCCTTAGAATTTTGGAAATGAATCAAAGGAGATCGAAGTTAGTGAAAGAAAGTAAGAACTGTATAGTTAGTGAGGAAGCCAGAAAGGAGTTTTAATATAGCTTGGAAAATGTAATAGGATCAATGGGAATTTTTTTGAGAGGGGCAGATAGGGTACCAGTGACAGGAAATGGCAAAGGACACGCTGACAAAGGAGATCAAACAGAATTATTTTTTAAAAAGACTGTGGCAATATAACAATAAA